ATTAACTATATCAGGGATAGGCAACGTCGGAGTGCCGCTGTCCTGCAGAGTTTAGCTCTAACCCTAATCAAACACACCTGAACAAGCTAATCAAGGTCTTCAGGATTACTGAGGCTACAGACCAGTGAGTTTTTTTTTCAGGGTTGGAGCTAAAACATCGGCACCATCGGCACTCCAGGACCGACGTTGCCTACCCCTGAACTATATGAAATGATGTAAAGGCCGAATTTTGTGAATTGTGTGATGCATTATAATAGACTGAATCATGCTGTTAAAGAACGCACTCTAAATGCGCACGCGCACTAATCTAACCTAACAGACTTCACGTCATGTATAGACTTCACGTCATGTGTGCGTGCACTCTCTGTAGGTGTGTTTAGTTTGGATTACTTGATAATCTTGATAATGTCAAACCGCACATCGTAAAACAACAATTACGAAATGTGTAGATTCGGTGGTTACCTGCAAGAGCCACTAGAAGTCTTTCAACCACTCTCTCCGAAAACTGTACGCCTTCTATTCGGCTGGTGGATCAACATTCACCACATGATCGCTATCACCAGCACCATTATTTGTAACTTTAGGTGGTTCACAAAATAAATCTGTCAGTGTTTCTTTTTTTATTTTCTCTCTTCTTCAGCCTTTTTCATTCCCCGCGGTAGTTAGCTCCCTGTCACCTGACAGCGGAAAGCAGTGACTGGGTGATTGACAGCTAATATTAACCAATCTAAAATCTGCATTAGCGTTAAGAATGTAAAGATGAAGTTTAATTGGTTATGTAGACCAAAATGGTCGCAATTTCGAGCCTTGTTTACTACTAATTATTAAAATAAAAATGGGGTTTCTGACGTGACTGATTTGAAAAGTAATTCTAAGTGCTACACAAAACGGAAAATCTTTTTTTTTTTTTTTTTAATGTCAGCATGCTGCTAAGCTAATAGTAACAATGAATTGTTATACTCCAAGCATAACAATACATCATTTTTTACCTTTTTTTAGATTTAACATTTTCGTGAAAAGTATCCTTTAAAGATACTGAATGTAACATTATGAATTTTTTTCCACTGAGCTCATAATTATTGAGATTGTTGTTTCTATCAAGGACACATGAGATGCTGTCTTGGAGCCTGCCCAAAGGAAAAAAATCTTTTAAACAGCCTCTTGTCTACAATTAAACATATGCCTTAAAGGGGTCATCGGATGCCCATTTTCCACAAGTTGATATGATTCTTTAGGGTCTTAATGAAAAGTCTATAACATGCTTTGGTTAAAATTTCTCAATGGTAGTGTAAAAAAAAAAAAACTTTTTACCAGGTCAAAATCAGCTCTTTTCAGAGCAACCCGTTTTGTTACATGTTCCTTTAAATGCTAATGAGCTCTGATCACACCGCCCTGGTCTTCTGTGGGGTGACGAGCAGTAGTTTACTTTAGTCGCATTTAGCTGCGAAACTTGCTAACTAGCACATTATTAGGAAAGGCGATTTGCAAAGATTCCAAAAAAAACCTTATACTCACTTCTTCTGTAGGTGAGGCTGGATCACAAATGATTCGCACGAACAGACTCATTTAGGTAGATCAGGGGCGCATTCCCTTCAAAAACGAAAGTAACGTTAATCCTCTGCGTCTTCAGCGGCTCAGATGTCGGGAGTAAATGACGACTGCTATGTTCATTATTACATCCAACAACAGAACACCTCATTCGCTATGGAGCCATTCTTGTCTATGTCCCTGCTCCGGCGTCGAAACAATGGCGGTCGGACTGTTACAGCTCACTCAGGGCAGGTCTAAGGTAAGATGGCCGTGTCAATCAACAATCGTGGGAGCGGCCTTGGTCCATGTGACATCACACAGACAAGAAGCTGAGAACGGCTTGATTTGAAAAAGGGGATATTATTTTTAGGGATTAAATAAAAACCACTGGGTGGATTTTTATCATTATAGGGTGGTTGTGTACACACACTGCCAACACACATTTATGTTCAAACAACATGTAAAAGTTAATTTTGCATCCAATGACCCCTTTAAAATGCAGTCTTGTTAGGCAGCTCACTAGGTTTTTGAACAGAACTAGAGTCACACACAGTAATGAAGCAGATCCCTTTGAGAAAGATCTCCTCAGACAATGCTGGCTGCTGGCAGTTTGCTTTCAGCTGACTAGAAGAGTGGCAAAACGACAAGAGTCATCAATCATCACAGAGAAGCCACCAACCACAATAAAAAAATAAAATCAAAAAATGGATAAAATCACATGTTCTCAAAAAGTTAAGTCACTGGGATAGAAGTTATGATCAAAATACTACCATTGTGAATAGATACCATGTGGGATGCACTTGAAAGTTGTGGCCTGGCTGCTCAAATGTGTTCAAACAGATCTCCAGCACCCATTAAACTTCTCCAGTATCAGAGGGAAAGACAGTCTCTGTGAATTTTAATAACATCTGGAGGCTCATAGTATCAGCACAGATTAGTTTATTGGCTGAGGCTGCTCTGAATGACAATAAACTTTTTACAACTCAACCCCACCCATTGTGTTAGTACCACCCTGTAAATCCCTGAAGAATGTCCCAGTAGCAAGCAGACATTTGAAAGGTGGGGTTAGGTATGCTATCACAACCAGTGCTGTGGAGTAACTAAAAAATCTTTAACCAAACATTGCATTGTATTGCAGTTTAAACTGGGCAAGAAACCAACATACTCTTCTACATTACTACTCTCTGCTATGTGGAGTTTGTGTTGCATAAAGTTGATTCTGGATTTGACAAGCTTCAAAAGAGCATGTGTTGATCATGCGCTTGCATGGGAGCGGCATGCTTTAAACAAAAATCAGTCCCTTAAGTTAGCCTTTCTCCATGGCGCACAATCTAAAAAGAGTTGACACACCCCTGCTGCAAATTATAAAAAGAAATGCAATCTCTTAAAAAGGGTAACGCAGACTAACCATGTTTCGTACACTTTTCGCTAGTCACCACATGCCAGCGACCACTCCTCGGTTGTTGAGACAGACAAGCATGTTTGTGTGATCATTCCCTGGGGGGAATAGCCATTATACAGTCCACACTTTGATTGATGTCTTTAGGACCAATAGTTTTTGAGAAAAGTAGGGAAAAGTACCTCCTATGCCAGTGTACGGAAGATAAGGGTTAATGGTGTTCCGTACTGCACGCATAACTTGATTTCATCTGCGAAAATGGACATTTGACTGATCAACTGTGAGCTGTTTATTTATTTTAACTAAAAGGAAACATTATTTAAATGAATAAGATGAGTACCTTTTTATTTGGTTAAAATGTAAGTTAATTGCTGCTTAAATAAAGGACCAGGCGAGTTAGGCATGATTGTGTCGTGATATTAATTATGGCGTGTGAGTTAAGCATGAACAATGTGAAACGTTAGTGAATAACATTTCCATATCTTTCTGAAGACAAGAAGGGCAAACAATTTGCACTGATTTAATAAAAAAAAAAAAAAGATTAACCAATGTGAAAACTTCAAAACATAAATGATCAGGATGCGTGTGTTTACAACTATTTACATTTGACACTAAACGGATTAAAAAAAAATAGTGAAGGTAGGACCCCAAAACTCAGGCATTCAGACATTCTCCATTCCCACAATGAGCTGTACATCATTCAAGTACATTCCCAATTTCTGATCTTCTGAGAAACTAAACTTTTTTTAAAAGATAATGTGAAGTGGAATTCTGGCTGTGAAATCTGCGTTAATTCAAGTCATAATAGTAACAATCAAAACAAACTAAAAAAAGGCAGCACACAGCACAGAGAAGTGGTGAAAAGCAAATTTCACAGATGATTAGGTTTCCCAATTATGGTTTCTGATATGAGATTACCTTCGTGGCTTGTGGCGTGTTAAGGATGTGTACAGTGCTGGGTTTGACACCGTTGGCTTTGGCTCTCTTATAAAGGGCAAACCGGCTTTTCCTTCGCCCTCTGTCTCCATTGGGGAGTGAACCATTGTACCTGTTCAAGAAGAGAAATGCCAAAATTAGATACCATTAGATGAGGAAGATTTTAAAAATTGCGAATATATGGTGTTTTACAGCTCTACAGATCCCTGCCACATGAGCAGACTAACACAGAATCCAGAAAGCCACACAGATTTCTGAACTACTGGAATGCTCATCATTCAAAATGTGCTTCATAATTAACCAAGCCATTGCACAATTATCAAACCACACTGAAATATCTGTATAGACAGTACACACCATGTGCTTCAAAGAGTAGCGACGTGTTCGGTGTCATCTACTGCACATACTCGTGATACAGTGTTTCCAGCAGTCTAATGGCGCTTTTACACTGCATGGTACGGCACGGTACGGCTCAGTACGCTTCACTTTTGGGGGGTTTTCCACTGGGTACAGTACCTGGTACGCGGCAATAGAGGCGGCGCAACTATAACGACATGTGAATAATCTTGCCCACTCTAAAGCGGTACTGAACTGCAGTGGAAACGCAAACCGAGCCGTGCCATACCGTACTGAGCCGTGCCGAGCAGAGTCGTACCACGCAGTGGAAAAGCGCCATAAGAGTGTACTCGCACTAGGCGATCTTTGAACCGCGGTTCGTTTAGCCGTCCCTGGCTCACTTGGAAGAGGTGGGCCAGAGCACGGTTCACTTGGGCTCGGGCACGGTACGCATGTAGTATGAGTGCTAAATGCGCCGGAGCACAGAACAGCTGCTATTTTGTCTGTGCTATTGTCATCATTACGACCTCAAACATATTCTATTACTACTACTACACTTTTCAATTAATTTAATTAAATCATGAACAGGAATTATAGTTTGCAAGTAAAGCTGCAAATTCTTTCATTAACGTCAGCTGCCTCTGTGATAATTCTAATACATACAAGTGAAAAATCGCTGCACGGCATAAATAAATTTATTAGGCAGAATATTAGCGAAAGTGGTTTTCTCCGTTATCTCCTACATGACGCAAGCATGCTAAAGTGAAAGTGCTGCTTTGTTATTGTGAACAAAATGCTCCAGGTTCACTGTAGTTTCACATCTGCATAACTGTAAATGTTTCTGCCACAAGTTATTATATACAAATCTAAAAACCATGACAGTACTGTCACCAAAAATTGCAGGACTACAGGATGTCACTACATTTGAAATGAGAAGCATATTTAATTTTTTTTACAAAAACCCAAATGTTGTCCTTCAGTTTTGCCAAAAAAAACAAAAAAAAAAACACTGCGTGCAGGGTCCAGATACAATGTTGCTTTTCTACACTTTCGGATCAACTGAGGTCTGCATCTTTTAAAGAGAACAAGTGTGAACACCCTTAAAGCAGAAGTGGTTTCCACTGGCAGCACAATGTGAGCAAAGCAGGACTTAATTTGGAGACAAAAGGAATCACATGCCATTTAACATTAGAGCTGCCGCTTCATGGTATAAAGATGTTATATATAATGTTATTATATAAAAATGCTAGCAACAAACTATTTAGCACAATACTCTCTACTAGGGCTGGGCGATATGTCAAAAATATCTTATCGATAATCGCCTTTAAAAATATCTCGATATCCGATAATATAGTCTACGCAAGCCCCACCTCCACCACGCCCCGCCCCCGCTGAGACAACATTGCCGACATGCACCATAAACACACACCATGTTCAGTTTGGTCTTAATTATTGCCACAAAGTTTGGTTTTACTTTTCTTAGTTTGTGCTTAAACTAACAGAAAACATTAGCTTTGCTGTTATTTTGGTGTTGCTAATAATTTCCACTCTGTTCTTATCAAATTTGTGTTTGAAATGAATTTCGTTTTGTGAGGAGAACTGTTGAGGAAAAATAATAAAACCCAATTTTAAGTTCATCATGGTGAAGTTGGACATTCTGGCGGTGATTGTAAGAATGATAAATGCATGCTGACGTCATATAATATTGTCTTGAATAAAATATGCAGATTTTCCGATGTTTCTCTTTCTTTTTGGCATTATCGCCTGTGTAGACATTTCATGATGGTAAGTTTAATTTCCTTAATTATAACAATTGCAGCGTTGTTTTTAAACTTGTAGTCAAGCTATAACGTATTTGATATTTATCATGACTAAAATCATGCAGGGGTTAAAAACGAATTCTGAGCAAAAACGTTTTTTATTTTATTAATCAAAATACAACGCCCACAAAATAATATTCAGTGTTGGACTGCCCAATCTCCGAACGCGTGCATGTTGAGGGGCGAGCTGAGATATAGTACTGTAATGTCTTCAGCCGTTTGCAACAAAACTTTATAGTTTTGTTGCAAATTAATTAATTTATAGTGCTATATATCAGGTTAATTAAACAATTATATTGTATATCAAAATAGAATAGGCCTATACCCTAAATAAGGATAAATTATATTGGACCGCATCTCCAAAATAATCGCATACACAGATGCACATTGTCATTACAGTAGTCAGCGCCAAACAACAGGCAAATAAAATATAAACTGAGGTTACAAAAGTGATTCAGTCAAGATCAGTGAGGGATTCTTTTCTTTCGTTCTTTAAATTAAAGGGGTCATATGATGCTGCTAAAAAGAACATTATTTTGTGTATTTGGTGTAATGAAATGTGTTTATGCGGTTTA